GCATCATTACTCCAGTCTTCAGTGTCACATGATCTTCAGAAATCATTCTAATATGCTGATTTGCTGCTCAATTATTGTTGGTGCTCAATTATTAATAATGCTTATTATTATCAATGTTGAAAATTTGTTCATTTTTATTAATTGAGCATATTAGTTCAGTTTAGAATGATTTCTGAAGATCATGTGACAGAGTAATGATGCTGAAAATACAGCTGTGCATCACAGAAATAAATTACAGTTTAACAGAGATTCACATAGAAAACAGCTGTTTTACATTGTAATAATATTTCACAATTTTTCAGTATTTTTGATCAAATAAAGGCAGTCTTGATGAGCAGAAGAGACTTCTTTAAAAAACATTACTGATCTCAAACGTTTGAACAGCAGTGTATAATAAACATATTGTTATCGTGTGCCGGTGTGGATGCTGATATATTTATCGCCTTTAATGTCAATCACCAGGCCAATCAATCATGAGATAAGCAGCTTGTTTTATCGGTCTGTGATATAGTGACGCGTCTGTGTCTGTGTCGATGTGAAGGTCTCGGCAGCACAGGCCGAGTTCAGGTGATTCTGTTTCTCGCTGGATCTGGAGGACTTCCACCGAATGAAACCACCTTCGCCAAACTCCTGCAGAAGCAGGGCTACACCACCGGCATCGTGGGTAAGACATGTACAGTCCAGTCACGCTTTATACAATACAGATCGTTCTGAAGCAGCTTCACAGTGATGAACAGGAGAATCAATGATGCAGTCTTCATCAAACATGAGACTGATTCAAATTCTGCTGTGAAGCAGCTACAGCAAGACAGTGTTTAGCTCAAGTCAGAAATGTTAAAAATGATAGTATGCATAAAGAAATCCACTGAAGGGATAGATCGCTCAAAAACGATCGTATACTCACCCTCATGTTGTTCCAAACCTGAGTGACATTTGAAGAGCTTTGGGAACCAAACACTGGGACACTGGAGCTTAATGACCGTCAAAAAAACCAAAAAACATTTCTTAAAATATATTCTTTGGTGTTGCACAGATGAAAGTGTGTTGTTTTAATTTCATGGATATACTATTATAGGTTTTATTCATATTTTTATTTGATTTATTTCCACTGATAAAAATTATTATTTTAATATCATAATATACTGTTATAGTTTTTATTGATATTTTCCATTTTTATTTATTCGTTTTTTTTGTAATTTTTTTTATTTTTAGATTTTTCCATTTTCATTTTCATTTTAGTTACAATTTTAGTAATTTTGTTGGTTTTTGTCATTTTTAGTATAATTTTTTTTTAGATGTCTATATAGTTTTTATTAACTTATTTCAGTTTCAGTTATTTTAGTACTTAAAGGTCAATTAAATGAAAATGAGATTTAAAAAAAAAAAGATTTTATTTTAACTTAAAACTAAAAAACTAAAGTTTCAATTAACAAAAATGTTTTTTTTTTAAATGCTTTTAGATTTAATTAACGATAATAACCCTGAGAGAAAGTCATTCAGGTTTGGAACGGCACAAGGGAGAGTAAATGATGCCAAAATTACCATTTTTGCGTTGACCTATTCCTTAAAGACTTTTTTTATTTATTTTTTTTTTATTTAACTTTTTTTTTTATTATCTTCATTTTAATGTTAGTTACAATTTTGGTACAAAAAAATGTAATGTCTGTATTATTTGTATTAATTTCTGTTTTAGTTATTGTAGCACTTCAAGTTAAACTTAATGAGAAGTTTTAAAAATATTTTTAATGTTAACATTAAATAATAATTTATTTTATTTCAATTAACTAACATGTTTTTTTGAATGGTTTTAGATTTAGTTAATGATAATAACCCTGAAAGAAAGCCATTGGGGTTTGGAACGACACAAGGGAGAGTAAATTATGCCAGAATGCTCACTTTTAGGTGCACGATCTATTTAAGATAGTTTGCATTGAGACATTATTTTCCAGACAAATAAGCACATTTCCCTCCTGCATTCATACATCTTATTGACAGTATTTTCATGAGTTATTGTCTCATTTGGTTTTATGACTCTTCTATATTTAAATCACGCTTCCTCACTTTGGAAAATTCCTCCATCGACTGCTGTTAATTTGAGGGCAGGAGATCAGTCAAGCAGGAGGAGGTGAAGTATATAATGCATATAATGTCAGCTTTTAGGAGTGTTTACAGTGTGTGTTCACTTTTATTTCCATTTCTTCTTCTTTTTTTTTTTTTTGCTTTTAGAGCAGTACATAAGACAAAATATAGGAAGACGACACAAAGTACAAAACAAATGAAAACAAAACAAAATAATAATAAAAAAACACAAAAAATAGGTTTTACACGTGATTATGTGAAGTGTGCTGTGTATGTCTCTATCATGTATGTATGTAAATATATATGTAGAACAGAATGTTTGAAGAAGGAGGAGAGATAGAAGAAAAGAGAAGAGAAAAAATTATATATAATGAGGGAAAATAAAGCAATAATAATAATAATAATAACAGGTAATAAGGAAATAAAAAGAAAATAAATTATGAGAAATCATAAATATGGTGAGGGATTAAGGAGAAAAAGAAAAGAAGGGAAAATTAACAAATAAATAAATAAAATATGCACAAAAAATAATAAATTAATTAATTAATTAAAAATACACACATAAATAAATAAAATACACAAATAAATAAATAAAATATGCACAAAACAATAAATAAATAAATTAAAAATACACACAAAAATAAATAAATAAAATACACAAACAAATAAATAAAATATGCTAAATAAATAAGTAAAATACGCGAAATAAATAAATAAATAAAACACAAATAAATGAATGAATAAATAAATGTGTTCACTCTTCAGGTAAGTGGCATTTAGGTGTGAACTGCGAGAGCAGGAACGATCACTGCCATCATCCCAACAATCACGGCTTCGACTTCTTCTACGGGCTTCCCTTCACCAACTTCAACGACTGCAAACCCGGAGCGGGGAAAGGCGTGCTGGTGGATGTGCAGGAGACGCTGTGGCAGATGTCTGCGCTGCTGGCGCTGGCGTCTCTCACGCTGCTTGCGGTCCGAGCCTCGGCTCTGCTGCGGGTCAGCTGGTCGCTCGCGGCGTTTCTGGCCGTTCTGTCGCTGCTGGGCTTCACGGCGTGGTTCGTGCCGTTTGAACTCCTGCGGACCTGGAACTGCATCATCATGAGGAACGGCGAGGTGGTGGAGCAGCCCGTGAAGCTGGAGACGCTGAGCGCCAGGCTGATGAGCGAAGCTGAGCGGTTCGTGGAGAGGTCAGTCGATAACTGACACATGAACAGAGCTGGATTTCTTCTTTACTTCTGTTGAATTTGTGCGCGTGTTCTTGATGAGATTCACCCGTGATTTGCATGCATGCATGCTTCATAATGTGGTAATGCATTAGATATTAGACTTGTCCTGCAAATCACAAAACACAAGCACAAATTCAACAGAAGTAAAAAAGAAATTATAGTTTGCATGAAGAAAATGAAGCTTTATTAATTAATTTACTGACAACAAATCTTTTTCTCCTTTTAAAATTCTGATTTATTTTTAATGTAGAGCACTTTGGATCAACTACGGTTGTGTTAAACTTGTGCTCTATAATTAAAATTTGCCTTGCCTTGTCCTGACAAATCAGCTTCACGTCTCATGAGTTTCCCACGCACTCATTTCTTGTGCCTGCGGTGGGAAACTTCTTTGGTTTCGGTTTAAGGTGATTATTAATCGTGTGATTTATGATGTCAGACACAAAGACGGGCCCTTCCTGCTCTTCCTGTCATTGGCACACGTGCACACGCCCCTCTTTGTGTCCGAGGGCTTTACCGGAAAGAGCAAACATGGGCTGTACGGGGACAACGTCGAAGAAGTGGACTGGATGGTGGGTAAGTGAGGAGGAAAGAAGAAAGCATCACATCATGAATCAAATGTAACAATTAAAGGAATCATTCACCCAAAAATGAACATTTGCTGTTAATTTACTCACCCTTAGGCCATCCAATATGTGGGTGACTTTTTGGATTCAGTAGAACTGTAAAGAAGATTTTTAGCTGAAACCGAGGGCCTCATAAAATGCAAGTCAATGGCTACCGTCACTTTAAGACTCAAAAAAGCACATCAGGCAACTCAAAATTAATCCCCGTGGCTCCTGACGATATATTGAGGTCTTATGAAGCAAAACGATCAGTCTGTGCAAGAAACTGAACGTTATTTACAGCAGTATTACCTGTAATCCAGAGCCTCAGGGAAACGGTTCAGTTTGTGAACGAATCATTCTTTTGAACCGGTTCTTTTTAGTGAACTATTTGAACTGATTCATCAAATCGGACTGAATCATCTGAATCAGTTCGCGGCTCGAACAGCACAGATCTACAAGTTACTCAATCCAAACTCCCTGACAGTCACTCCGAAATAGCGGCACATCTGCGCAAATGATGAATGAATCATTCAGCGCTCCAGTTCCTCCAACAGACACTGAACTGAGGAAACAGTTTGACTAGGACCGAAGACAGATGAGCCGCTGAAATGCGCATGTGTGAACGCAACACTTGAATGAAGGAGAGAAATGAACGTTTTTATGATTTCTCATTGTTTACGCATAAAGTTGAGCTGATGAAGACCAATTTATTCACTTTATATGTTTTAGACATGTAAAACATCCACGTTTCACATCATTATTAGGTGCTTTAATAATATAATTGTGTATATGTGATGTCATTGCGTGATTATGTAAACTAACTAGTGAATTGAATCAGTTCATTGAAACAAACTGTCCGAAAGAACCAGTTTACAGAAAAGAATCAGAATTCCCCGTTTGTCTGAGGCTCTGGATTACAGTAATAATGCTGTAAATAATGTTCAGTTTCTTGCACAGACTGATCGTTTCACTTCATAAGACCTCAATATGTCATCAGGAGCCACGGATATTAAAGGGATAGTTCACCCAAAAATGAAAATTCTGTCATTAATTACTCACCCTCATGTCGTTGCAAACCCGTAAGACCTTCATTCATCTTCAGAACACAAATTAAGATATTTCTGATGAAATTTGAGAGCTTTCTGACCCTGGTACTTTTGTGAATGCGTGTCGAAGACTGACTCGCAAGAGAAGAAATTGTTGAATAAAGTCATTATTTTTGTTTTCTTTGCGCACAAAAAGTATTATTGTAGCTTGTTAACATTACGGTTGATCCACTGATGTCACATGGACTATTTTAACGATGTCCTTACTGCTTTTCTGGGCCTTGAACGTTTAATTTCCCTTGCTGTCTATGGAGAGTCAGAAAGCTCGCAGATTTCATCAAAAATATCTTAATTTGTGTTCCAAAGATGAATGAAAGTCTTACGGGTTTAGAATGACATGAGGGTGAGAAATTAATGACAGAATTTTCATTTTGGGTGAACTAACCCTTTAATTTTGAGTTGCCTGATATGCTTTTTTTGACTCTCAAAGTATGAATCGCCACGCTTTCAGCTAAAATTTACTTTACTGTTCTACTGAAGAAGAAAAGTCACCTACATCTTGGATGATCTGAGGGTGAGTAAATTTACAGCTAATTTTCATTTCTGAGTGAGATATCCCTTTAAATGTAACAAACCAAGTAATCACACGATCACAGATTAATCAGCTCAGTCACATAAGATGACCTGTTTGAAACGTGACTCATGGAGAATATCTTGTGTTTGACCACAGGTAGAATGATGGAGACCATTGAAAGGCTCGGCCTGTCCGAGAAAACCTTGATGTACTTCACCTCTGACCACGGCGGCCACATCGAAGAGGGTCCGAAAGGAGGCTGGAATGGAATCTATCGAGGTACGAAACACAAAAGCAGACATTTGGAGGAGTGTTGATGCTGAACAAAAATATATGATTTTGTGTCATTACTGACCCTCTTATGTTTAGGTGGTAAAGCCATGGGCGGCTGGGAGGGAGGAATCCGAGTTCCGGGAATATTCCGCTGGCCTGGACGTCTCAACCCGGGACGAGAAGTGGCAGAACCAACAAGTCTGATGGATGTTTTTCCCACAGTGGTGAAGCTGGCAGGCGGAACGCTGCCAGAGGACAGGTACAACACCAGCGCGTCAATACTCAACACTATATTCCTGTAGGACAGGCTAGACAGACAGCATCTAGTGCTGCAGAAAACACACACTTAACCTCTGAGAATATGCAGCTTTGCAAATAATAAATAATATATTAGTATAGCCTAGCAACCACATAACAACTACCTAGCAACACTGTAGCAACCACCCAGAACACCCTAGCGACACTTTAGCAACCACACAGAACACCCTAGCAACACTTTAGCAACCACCCAGAAAACCCTAGCAACACTCTAGCATCACCTTAGTAACGCCCCAGTAAACCATCCAGAACACTCTAGCACCCACATATCAACTGCCTAACAACACTTTAGCAAGCACTCATAAACACCATAGTATCACCCTAGCAACCACCTAGAAAATTTTACCAACCAAATAGCAACTTTTTAACATCACTTTAGCAACCACCTAGAAACAACCTAGTATCACCCTAGCAGCCACCTGGAAACACTCTAGTATCACCATAGCAACACCCTAGTAATCACCTAGAAACGCCCTAGCAACCACCCAAAAACACACCAGTTTCACCCTAGCAACACCATTGTAACACCCTAGTATCACCCTAGCAACCACCCAGAAACACCCCCATTATCACCCTAACAACACCCTCGTAACACTCTAGTATCACCCTAACAACCACCCATAATCACTCTAATATCACCCTAAGCCTAGCAACCACCTAGAAACACCCTAGTATCACCCTAGCAACCACCCAGAAACACCCCATTATCACCCTAGCAACACCCTTGTATAGAGTTAGTTACGGTTAGACACCCTAGTATCACCCAAACAACACCCTTGTAACACTCTAGTATCACCCTAGCCTAACAACCACATAGAAATGCCCTAGTATTAACCCTAGCAACCACCCAGAAAAACCCTAGTATCACCCTAGTAACTATTCAGAAACACCCTAGCCTAGCAACCACCTAGAAACACCCAAGTATCACCCTAGCAACCACCTAAAAATCCTATATGATGTGTAAGTGCTGTATGTGTGTGTTTGTGTGATTCTGTAAGGATCCTGGACGGCCGTGATCTGATGCCTCTGTTGGAGGGCAGAACGAACCGCTCGCAGCACGAGTTCATGTTCCACTACTGCGGCATGTACCTGAACGCTGTACGCTGGCACCCTCCCGACAGTGAGTGACTCAAACACACACACACACACACACAAACACACACACACACACACGACAACGAGAATTACACTACTGATTGAACGACTGGGCTCAGATACCTTTTATTAATCAAGGATGCATTAAATTGACCAAAAGTGCCAGTAAAGACATTTATAATGTTTCACATTTCAAATAAATGCTGTTTTTTTTCAACTTTCTGTACATCTGTGAATCCTGAAAAATTTAATATATCACGGTTTCCACAAAAATATTGTGCAGCACAACTGTTTTCAACATTGATAATAATCAGAAATGTTTCTTGAGCAGCAAATCAGCATATTAGAATGATTTCTGAAGATCATGTGACACTGAAGACTGGAGTAATGATGCTGAAAATTCAGCTTTGATCACAGGAATAAATAACAATTTACATATTTATTCACATAGAAAACAGTTGTTTTAAACTAATTGAACAGGACTAATAGATTGGTAGGAGTGTTGATGCTAATCCACCACGGGACTCGGGTAAGAAGTGCGACAGGCGACAGGGCACTGTTCAACTCTTTATCTGAAGTATTTAACTGTTCACAGCAGATGGCACAACATTGCTCCAATTGGATTGGATATTGTACAACTTAAGGCCACAAAGTGTTAAATGTGGTCTTTATTCAATCACGCACATTAACACCTGAAGAAATGGCGGATCAAGCGGCTAGTGAAAGTGAAAGTAAATCGGAATAGCGGAAACTCACGTCAACTAGCGGCACACATTCATAATAAAGGTCCATCCCCTATAAACATACATAGGGAATTTAGAACAACTCCAGTCCATCAATTAACATGTTGTGAAGCAAAAAGCTGCATGTTTGTAAGAAAAAAAGTCCTCTATCCATAATACTGCTTTCTTCAAATGTCGACTCATCTGAATCAGGAGAGAAATATGCACAGATCAAGCACTGTTTGCAAGTGAAAACAGTCCAAAATAGCTCTAAACAAACACGTGAGTGAATTTTGATGTTAGAGACAACAGGAGATGGATTTTTCACTGGAGGAAGCGTTATTGTGGATCATGGACTCATATTTTGGCCAGAAGAAACTGTTTAAAGGGGTCATATGATGCGATTTCAAGTTTTCTCTTTGGAGTGTTAGAAGCTCTTGGTGCATAAAGAAGATCTGTAAAGTTGCAAAGACTAAAGTCTCAAATCCAAAGAGATATTCTTTATAAAAGTTAAGAGTCAACCACGCCTACCTAAAACGGCTCGTTCTAACACACCCCCACATATCTACCTCACTATGTGGAAAGCGGGAAGTCTGACAAGTTTGGCCACAGGTCGTAGGTATAGGCGATCATTGACCTGTACTTGAGCTGACCTGATGTGTCCATCAGCACTGGGTATCAGTTTGATAACCCGACCAACTGGCCATTGGGCTCTGGGAAGCTGCGGGTCGATTATCATGACCACCGTGTTCTCAGCTAGATCTTGAGTTACCCGCTGCCACTTCTGGCGAGTCTGGAGACCCGGGAGGTAATGTCGTGTGAAGTAAGACCAGAAGTGATCGACGATAGTCTGGGAATGACGCCAACTACACTTGGACAAGGGCTCAGGGGTGTAAATCACCTGGGGAAGTGAGGCGTCCCGCCGCCCCATGAGAAGCATATTGGGGGTAACCGGATCCAAGTCTGCCACGTCGGATGAAACGTATCCTAAGGGCTTGCTGTTCAGGATACCCTCTACTTCAATCAGTACAGTCTGCAGGACATCCACAGGCACAGACTGGCTCCCGATGACTACTCGCAGTGCAGACTTTACCGATCGGATCTCCCTTTCCCATGCACCTCCGAAGTGGGGTGCGGCAGGAGGATTCATCCTAAAAGTGATCTGGTAGCTAGCCAGCTGCTCCTGCAGTCTGGGCTCCATCTCCTTGAAATCTTCTCAGTTCGGTCTCGGCTCCCCGAAAGTTAGTTTCCTGATCTGAGAGGATCTCGGACCGGGTTCCTCTACGTGCCTTAATGCCAGTAAGAATGCATCAGTGTCGATGCTGTTGAGTAGGTCAAGGTGAATGCATCTGGTCGTCAGGCACTTGAAGATGACGCCCCATCGCTTCTCTGTGCGACGGCCAATCTTGACCACGAAGGGCCCGAAGCAGTCGACTCCAGTGGAGAAGAAGGGGGGTTGGTATAATCGTAGACTAGCTGATGGTAAGTCAGCCATAATAGGTAGAGTCGGCTTAGCTCTCCACTTCTGGCACTCTACGCACTCTCTCTGGTGTCGTTTGATGGCTTGCCTGCCCCTTAGAATCCAGAACTGGCGACGTAGCTCTGCAAAGACCCTATCAGGTCCTGGATGGAGTAGACGCTCGTCAAAGTGCTTTACGATGAGTCTAGTCACCTGATGGTGGGGATCTAGAACCACTGGATGTATTTCAGCTTTACTGAAGCCATCCAATCGCCGTAGCCTACCTCCCACACGAATTAGACTTAACTCTGGGTCGAACTCGGGTGCAAGCGTGTTCAGACGGCTGGCTGCGGGCACCTGGTTCCCTGATTTTAATGCCTTGAACTCCTCTGGGAAGGAATCCTCCTGACATTGACTCAAGATGAGCGCTTCTGCACGCCTGTAATCTAAGGATGCTGTACTCGTATCTTGGGCGGCCGCCCCATGGAGGGACCGGTAGGTCGCGTCGACCAAGGCACTCCAAGAAGCATACTGAGATGCATCAAGCATGTCTGGATTTTGATGGTCTGCAACTAATCCACAGAAGACGGCTTTCCTGGTCTCTGAGGTATCCTCTCGGGCCTCTACAAGGGGCTTGGCTGGCCATCGGTCTGGTGGTTCGCAGAGGAATCCTGGGCCTCGACTCCACATGTCAGAGTTCGCCAGCTCCATGAGCGTCCTCCCTCTGGTAATGTCGTCCGCCGGGTTATTCGAGGAATCAACGTACCGCCAAGAGTGGAGCTCAGTCAACTCTTGTATTTCCGCCACCCTCGTCCCGACGAACACCTTGTACCTACAGGACTCAGACTGGATCCAGGTGAGCACTGTAGTCGAGTCTGTCCATAATGTCACTGTCTCTATGGCAATGGTCAGCTCCTGTCTGAGGAACTGTGCAAGCTGAGCGCTAGTCAGTGCTGCACACAGCTCGAGGCGTGGCATCGACAGCTGCCGCTTGGGGGCTACCCTAGAGCAAGCCATAACGAAGGCAGTGTGGATCTTACCATGCTGGTCGGCACGGAGATAAGCCACCGATCCGTAAGCAACCTCGGATGCGTCGCCAAACACGTGTAGGCTTAATCTTGATTTCTCCACATCAAAGCCGGCAGGAAGATAGCACCTAGGAAGCTTGAGTCTACAGAAATTAGGCAACTCCTTCTCCCACACGGTGGTGAAGGGAATGGAGAATCCTAAGGGGTCATATTGCGTTGCTAAAACCTTATAGATATACCTCATGGTTGAGTGATGCTCTGCTAGTGTACGATGCCTGTAGCCTAGGCTGTCTTCTAGGCAGTACCACATTAAGCCAAGAGCCGGCTCCAGCGGGTCTGAATGATTTTGCTGTAACCACAGTTCAATGTTCTCTGAACCGGCCTTAGTTGGTAGGTGCTGGACAACGGAGGGGACATTTGTGACCCACTGCCTGATCTCGAAGCCCCCAGAGGCTAAGAGAGGCCTCGTCTTGTCAATTAGTCGCTTGGCTTCCTCAGCAGTGAGAAGGCTCAGTAGGCAGTTGTCCACGTAGAAGCTTCACTCTATGGACTGCAACACTTCCTCATTCCCGAACTGCTGGCAGCGAATGTGCATCTGCAGCGCAAAGGTAGCGCAGCAGGGGCTGCATGTCGTCCCGAAAGGCAAGACTTGCCATTCGTAGACGTCCGGCGGGTCCCTTCAGCGCATGTTCCTCCAAATTTGCCGGAACCGACTCCTAGTAGTGAGGCACCAAGGGTAGGACCTGGAAGCAACTGCTGGTTAAGAGAGACGAGAGACAATGCAAAGGAACAATTGAAGACCAACCTATATTTGCAGTTATGCTGCACGAGGTGGTGTGGTATGAACCACGACTCCTCGTCTACCTGCTGGCCTTCTGGTGGTACCCTGACGACATACCCTGAGACAAGGAGCTTCTGTATTTCGGCTTCATACACCTTAGCCCTCTCGGGGTCTCTACTCAGGCGCTTCTCAGTGTTCCTGAGGCTGGACAGAACGGATTCCGTAGTCCCCTTCAGCGGTGGAGCGTCTGGAGCACGAAGGAGTGGAGTAGCGTAGCGCCAGACTCCGTCAACTCCGTCAACTCGTGTCCTGGTCTCCAACATGTCTGCAGCCATCTGATCTTGTTTAGACCGAGTTATCACAGTTATCACTCGAGATGGAAGGACATCGAGCTGCCAGAGTCGCTCGACATGTTGATAGACAGGGTCTCGCAGTGGTGTAAGAGAAGTGAACAAACACTGCGGGGAAGGTACCTGATGTGGGAGCAATCCATCTGGTCCCTGGAGGACCCAACCGAGCTGCGTGCGTACAGCGACTGGTCCGCCCGCTGGTCCCAATCTGATGGGCTCCTTTGGGGTAATCAGAGACGGATAATCGGACCCGATTAAAATTAGGGGTTGGACCCTATCGAAAGATGGAATGGGGATCCCTCTGAGATGGTGATAACATTGCTGGAGCCTCTTAACGGGGTAGGTTTGCTCGGTTAGCGTGAGGAGAGGCGCGGTGAAGACCCCCTTAAGGCTGTGCTTCTCCTCTGGCCTTGACTGCGAGGAAAGCAGCAGGTCAATTGACTGCCCCTTCAATTCTGTGATGTCATGTCGGATGGTGCGAAGGGCCATAATCTCTTCCCTTCCCTCAATGCCTAGCTGCTGGACTGCTGCAGGAAGGATGATACTCCGCTGAGCCCCATCGTCCAGAATAGCGTAGGTCGAAACCGACCTCTTGCCTCTCCACAGAAGCACTGGAACTACTTTCAGGTACACACGACCCGTCAAACTAGGAGAAGTAAGATATGCTCGCTCGTGAGATGTTGTC